GAGATAACTTCTCAAGAAATCAAATCAGGAGTAACGTGATCCAAGGTTTAATATATCCTAGATTTCAATTAAGAAAAGATCAAAAATTTACCAGAGATTGGTGATGGGTTGCTCCAAGATTTTTTTTTTGTAAAATGTGAACGAGGATAATAAAAAGGACCAATTGTAAGAAGGGATTTAAGGCAGCTAAGGCAAACGCTTAGCTGTCAGGATCAGAAATCTTCTAATATTAGGTATCTGTAGACTAAGGCTAAAGTTTGGTACATTTACACTTTCACTCCTTATATTCCAATTCTAATACTTCGGCAGGGGACTCCCTTATTGGCACAAGACCTTGAGAATTGTTCAAAAAGAAGAGATAAAGAAAGGAACTATAAAATCAAGAGTTAACAAAGCCAAGTGGGTATAGTATTAAAACTCAGCAAACACTGCAGCAATCTTACAACATAGACTAAACATGCCTTTGACTGCTAAGGAACTACTGTTTACTACAAGGGGAAGAATCAATGTACACAAACACTAACTAGATCTCTCTCCTTTTTAACACTTGAATCTTCAACTGAGGTCGGTACAGTTATTCAATATAGTATACATGAATTCCACACTCAAAACCATCCTAGAGAGACTTCAATGGACATTCCAAATGAAGAAATTTTTACAAATTGGTCATTTCATTCAAAACCCTCCTATAACTTTGTGTGGTGCTGTGATTTATCTTTTCAAATACACACCAAAAAAGATCATGGCATAACTATCTAAATCAGGTCATACGACAAAACGGGTTGCTCACATGGTAATCACCCTCCACCCTCAACCCAAAGGTTGGAGTTTGAGTCACCAAAGGAGCAAAAAGGTGCGAGAGCTCCTGGGCAGGGGTTAAAAAAATCAGGTCATACACCCCTTAAAGTTTTCTTAAACATCCCTAGTCGTATTCTACAACTTGTACTCATAAACACCAGATATCCAACCAAACTTCCCTAACTAGTGACACCCAAAAGCCAAATTGTCCCCATTGCACATCTTAATGAAATTTGTCTCTCTTTTTTTCTAATTAAAACAATTCTTTACAACCAGAGCTGCTATAGAAATGAACTTATCGCGCTACTGGTAAAATATTTGTCGTCAATTATCAATATTTACTTGCAAGGTATAAATTAAACTTACTATCAATTATACTCCTTCTCATGTAAACCCTCTTTCTACTTTCACAAAAAGTCCAAAATTATCCATACATTTTCTTTAAAATATAACCCAAGAAGTTCAACTAATTTAGTTATCAATAGAATAACACAAACCCATCACTGAGTTCAATTAAAAAAAACATTACAAAAATCAAGAAAATACCAAGAAATTGGGGAAAGGGAGAGGGTTTATATCGATCAAAGCATCGGTGTAAGGAAAAAAAAATTCGCCATTTGAAGAGATAGAAAGATACCTGAGATGTGAGATCTAAAGAGAAGCGCAATGAAAAGAGTCGAGAGGTTTTTTCCTCTTTATGTAGACGAAGAGTGAAGCTAGTCTTTTTGCGCAAGTTTTTTATACGGGTCGGGTCGGGTAGGCCGGAATTGCGTCTGGTAGCCAGTTTCATCCTAGTAGTACTATTTAAGTTATATTCATTTAATATATAGCCAGCACTGTCAAAATTAGAGTTTGTTTGGACATGATTTGAAATTAGATTGATTTGACGTTGAAATTTTATTTGTATTCAAACTTTCTTGAGGATCAAAAAAGAATCAGCTTGAAGTAGTTCGATTTATAACGAGGGCATCACATAATTTCAAGAATTTGAGTTTGGGGAAGTTATCATATATCACATCCCAAATTTCATCCTCAAGAATTGGTATCCTTGAAGCCCTTGATATAAGCTGTTAGAACAGAGAATAATTGTAGTATAAGACATTCAAAATATAACTTATTTTTCTTAGAGATACGTCAAAACATTTCTTGAAGATGATTGGAGTTTTCTTATGTTAAAATGGAAGAATAAATAATAATTCTATTTTTCAAGATTTAGCTAAGTCACAGAACAAACAACAATTAAGAACGTTGTTCCTTTATTCTTGAATTGTACACGTGTTACTCCACTAATTTCCACTACCTTCCAAACCCATTTCCTACTTCTTCCAATGCTAACAATGGAAGAGAAACTAATGTTTCGCCTTCCACGGCTCTGAGCAAAATAGAAGAAAAAGGTTGGTGCTCAAGATTTAATCGATCAATAACAACTCCAGCATTCATCTTTACTTGGTAGTCACAGGTTTGATATTTTATTTTTCTTTGCCTCTTTGGCGTCTAAAATTTTCTCCAATAAGTCATGTGCATGTGCTAATTTTGATGTCATGCTGCTGGATCTGAGTAAATACAACTATAATGAGTAGAATTTTCAAAAGAAAATGTTAGGATAGAAATTTTCAGATTTGTTGATTTTAATAAAGGGGAACCGTTTCTGCAAATATCTCATTCAATTAATCTGCCGAATCATGAATCAAAGGGAGATGAGCTACTTTCTTGGAAAAAATTCTTTTTGTCGTAAAACTAGCAGGTTCTTAACAGTATTGATTCTCAAAAAAAAAAATTGCAAGATCTTAAGATTGCAATTTTATAAGGCTCCCTTTTAAGTTTACCATAGGAAAATAACTCAACTTAATCTCATTTGGGGCTTTCTAGATGTAAAATCTTAAATTAGTTTTACATTACTTATTTGATTTTTATTTTTACTGCTAATAAAAGATCAATATAGAAAATATGCAAAAATTAGTCAAAAACACAATTTATGTGATACAGCTCAATGAAATAACTTCAATTAGGACACTAAATCAAGAGGGAAAACATCCATAATAAATCAAGTCCGACTTTTGTGTTTTCACCAAGCTATTAAGGATCTAACTTTCAAAAACTAACGATTATATTATTTTTACTTCTCAAAAAATAGAATGATTTAAGGATGTTATTTTGTTTTCTGTTTGTACTAGCATGTTATTCACCTTCAAGTTTAGAGGTCGTCTTTCCTGTGTGCATCACTTATTCAATGGAATTTCCTTCGAACTTTTAAGGAATATAATAGTCCATTGATTATGGACAATACTTAAAAGAGATTGAAATGGTAATTATAAAGTTCTATGTAAACAAAGTTCAACCACGACACAGCTCATTTACTTTGTTCTTTTTTTAATTTATTTGTATCATTTTAGGAGTTTGACTAAATAAGAGAAGTACCCATAACATAGCTTCAGAATCGGAAGCTAACCCAACCTTATTACTTGCTTATAAGGTTGATATAAAGCTTAAATTAAGGGTAACAAAGGTGGTAGCTGCTAACTTACTACATAGTTACGATGGTAGACTCATGAGCCTATCAATAATGTTTAATGAAGTTAACTGGTAATTGATTTGTAACTAATACATCATTAATACGAGTACATATTGAGGAATATGTTGTTGTAAAGCTACTATTGATTGTATGAAATAGTTTTAAAAACATACTGCTTTAATTTTTATTTGGTTAATAAGTTTATTCTTGGATTATCTAGGGAATGTCAAGAATTTGAGTAGAGAGGGCCATGACTTCTGAAGTTGCAATGTCTAGATATACACTCTCAAAGTTGGAATGCTTACTTATTAGTCGAGGATAAATTTCAGTGTTTGTTTATATATTATGCTTTATTATCATTGTTGTTACTCTTTAAACTATTATAGTTCATACTGAAGTAAGTACACAATGTAGAGAATAGGAAGGAAGTTAATTGCTAGGAGTGCAATGGGATGATGGGAGGAATGAAAGAGACTGAAGAAATGTTAGATTTTGCACCAAAGCATTACATACGTAGCAATGGACTACATGAATACAATATTGGAACACCTTCTGAAATCCAATGTGAAGTATAGTTTTGTGCGAGACATGGGCAAAAAAATGAACTCTATTTAATCTCAAAACTATTTTCGATTCTTCTGCATGGCAGAAGTAAGGCTTAATTTCACTATTGAATAAACACGTGTGCTACACGTGTCCTTCTACATCTTTACTTTTCAATTATTTTCCTATGGTTCTTTCACCAATCTATCACTATGTTTTCCCCCATATAGAAACTTAGAATGGAAAAGAGAGCCAACGCAAAGTCACCATACTCTCTCCTTTCAATAGCCTGAAATTTGACTCTTAAACTTCTTCTGAGTGAGTTCTTTCTACCTTCTTCTTCCTCTGCTCGATTGATATGGACAAACATCGAAATAAGAAATACAAAGAGCCAATAAATTGGCTCGATTCTACCGAACATGAAGGGCGAATTACCTATTTCACCAAAACAGATGCGATAAATTTTGATTCGAATGTATACTATTTCCATGTACATCTTTCAAAACTTTTAGTTGAGGATCTACTTGATTCTTCATTCAATCAGTTATTCAAAGTTTTATGTGTGGTTTCATTTTGTAGCTTTCATCCTGGCTCAATACAAGGGTTTTTAATTGCTATTAAATAGGTCTATACATTTCTTTTATGCAGAACGCAAATTTTCCTAAAAATCTCAAATAAATTTTCATTGTTTACTCTGCAGATGTCTGATTTTGTTGCTATTTTATAGCTT